CTTAATGCAACCTCATTGCAATCCTTTGCCGCTGGTGCTGCCTTGTGCTCTACCAGTCTCGGTACGACGTTCACTATCCTAGGCACAAGCGGTCTTTCTGCAACGCGTCTCGGTGTTGTTTTGACCAGCTCTGCCATGATGGATGATGTCATAGGCCTAATCATGGTCCAGGTTATCTCAAACCTCGGTGGTGATACCTTTGTTGCCATCACAGTCGTCAGACCTGTCGTCGTTTCTCTTGGCTTTGCTATCATCATTCCTGTTTTTTGCAGATTCATCGTTCTACCGCTTACTGTTCGACTCAACGCTTTCCGAAACGCCAATCCGACTTCTAGAATTTCAAATGTTTTCGCTATGAGCCAGACTGCTTTTGTCATCCATACTGGATACCTCCTCGGGATAGTCATTGGTGCGACTTTTGCAGGCACCTCAAGTCTCTTGGCAGCTTACATAGCTGGTGCAACTATCAGTTGGTGGGATTCCGATGTTCCTCATCTCGAAACTCGAGAGATCAGCACCAATGCCACTGAAGCTACGGGAGAAAGTGTGATTACCGAAGAGTTGGCAACCCAGGACCCAGCTCCAGATAGTAACGTTCTCCCAAAGGTCATGGAAGGCGGTTCAGGTGCCGAGATCTTTCATCATTACTACGACCCTGCCCTTCAACACATTCTAAAGCCTTTCTTTTTCGTAAGTTCCCAACTCTTAGTCCATTCCAAACAAATCTGACTTGGACCAGGCCTCTATTGGATTTTCCGTCCCCATCACAAAACTATTCACAGGTCCCATCGCATGGCGTGGCGTGATCTACACTATCCTTATGATAATTGCTAAGCTTGCCTGCGGTCTTTGGCTCGTGTCTTTCACGAATCCATTCCGGGCCCTTATACAGCTTTCTCATAAGCTTACGCCCAAGCTCAAAAGATCTTCTAAAGGATTGGTGCCTGGTGCTCAATGCGCAGAGAACTCATCCCCCAGCGATGGCGCTGGTGCCGCACAGGAAGGAGAAGGACGCGATGCTGTCCCTTTGGAACCCGTTACTGACGCAGACACGTCTCAGGCGCCTCCTCAAGTACGTAACTCGACACCTAAACCTGAAAAGGCTTTGTCTCTGTATCCAGCATGTATCGTTGGCATTGGCATGGTAGCTCGAGGTGAGATCGGATATTTGATCTCGGCACTGGCTGAAAGCAAAGGTATCTTTGGTGCAACGGCGGGTGGCCAGTCCTCAGATATCTTTCTGATCGTTACCTGGGCTATTACGCTCTGTACGATCATTGGGCCTATATCTGTGGGATTGATCGTGAACAGAGTTAGAAAATTAGAGAATGGGAGTCTAAAGGAAAAGGGCGAGGGAAAGAAGAATGTTCTCGGGGCCTGGGGAGTGAGCTAGACTTCTCGCGACCTGACCTCTGTTGTGAAAAGGATTTCACTTTATATATAGATGCATTCGAAGCATAGTGTTTAGGCTCTAGACCTGCATTCATGGCGTTATGGCTCGCTCAAACTCGGGGCATTATCCGTGAGGAAAGAGACTTGTCGGCGCAATATCATTGACAGTATTTCACAGTGTACAGGACACCCAAATATAGTGAAATCATTCCTCATCTGCTAGTCTCAAGTGCCAAAACTAGGTGTTCTCTATCAATCCTGAGTAAAACCGCTATAGCGAAACGCGAGCAGACTGTGATGCGCCAACGCTCAGCGCCTCCTGACTCAAATCCACCCAAGGCGATGATTCTCGGGATCCAGCCACCGGCGTTTGATTTGAGCTTTGTCTCATTTTGTTCAGCGCTTGGAACCCACCTCTGATACTATCTGCCTCGTATCCTTTGACCCTCAAGACGCTGGTTGCAACTCGAGCACTATCACCATCGTAACATGTGAGAAGAACTCTTCTTCCGCTGAGAAGAGATTGTACTTCTGCTCCGGGAGCCTTGAAAGCGCCTTCGAGGTTCTTCCATAGTGATTCCAATAGCTTGGCATCGGAGAATGGACTTGGGGTACCGTCGTGTACGAAAGGCATATTGACCGCGCCTGGTAGATGGAACATGCTGAAATCGTCAGGTTGGCGTAGATCGATTATTGTAGTGTCCTGTTTAGATCTCAGAATGCTCTGTAAGTCAACGGTGTTGACAGATCCAATCTTTGGGTCGGCAAGAACCATGTCGAGTAGTGCTCCTCGGTCTACATCGAAGAATGCATCGAGGGCTTCTGATGCTGATCTTTCCCACTTCTCGTCGTATCGATACAAGTCAACTTTCAGAAGGTCCTGTACCGATGTTAGCTCGTTGGTAGTAAGACCTCAATATAACCTACCTCATTCTTGATAGAGGGGAAATAGCTCTCTCCAAGTTTGTCAAAGTACTCATTGATGTACTGGTATGGTAGGTCACAGCACAAGAACACACAGTTAATAGTTCCATCTGGTCCAGCCAGATCTGTGAGAGTACCTTCAGTCTTGCGCTTCTCTATAAGCTGATACAGACCCTTAAGGTTGAAACCAGAAGACGGCCCACAGACGATGCCGTTTCGGCAGAGATCTAACGACAAGGAGAAAGAGTTGTGAGAGTCGACTTCTTCAATATGATCGACTGCCCGCTTCCAGGGGAACTGGACGGGGGCCATAAGAGCGAAGGATCGAGGGCCAGGGACTCGGTCACCAGGAGCTGTGCAAACTCTGAGTCATAGTTAGTATTGGTGGATGTTATCATGTGAATATTGGGTTTACTGACCCAAGTCGATATACTGTAGGCTTTGCGTCTTTGAAGTATGTGCCAAGTCCAGTCATAGTACCTATCTCTCATGAGTTAACAAACTCGATAAGGCAGCATGTTGGCGTACCTGAGGTTCCCATGCCAGCACAGATGACGTTGATTTCCGGTAACTGCTTATAGATTTGCGGGCCCGTCCACTTGACATGGGCATTCCAGTTCTGTGCTAATGTTAGCACTGGCTTCTCCTTGCGAATGACCAGAGACCTACAAGATCGTTCTCATATTGGTTTGGGTTGATGACAGCTGCATCTGATTCTTGTGCAAGTCTCTGAGCTGCTCTGATCCCACCGCGTTCGTCAAGTGGCTCTGGCTGGGATGGGCCACCGAATAGTGTACTATAGGTACAAAGGGTTAGAGAAACCCCGTCCTGATAACAATGGGTGATCTGGTAACTTACATATCAATACCAAAGAACTGCATCAGCCTAAGCTTAGTGGAGCTCGTCTTGTTACTCAGGAATGCTCGAACGTCATCGACACCATGAATAGCTCGTGAAATCAATGACATCGACAGGACAGTCGACCCTGAGCTGTATTCAACCACCGCCTTGGTCTTGCCGGGTACGACACAATTTTGAAGAAGGTTCAAAGCTATCTACCAGTAAGCCAAGCATGGAAAATCCAGAATAAGACTACGTACCGGGCATCGCTTTGACGTTGTTCGCAGGATGCATAGTCATCATCTTGGCATAGATACGCACTCCATCTTGGCGATATGGATTAAGCAACTCGGGGATCTCAACAAGCGGTAGTGGCGGTGCTGATTCTGGATCGAAGTACTTCTGGATCGAGTCCTGTCCCTTGTACACGTTGAGGGGGTTGGGGCTGGCCATGTTGGAATAAGGTTATGGCTTGGAGACTGCAGAAGTAGAACCAACGGATCTTCTGGGTGCAAGCTCACTATATAAATCAGGGATCGTACGTCGTAGGCTTGCTAGAGTTTTCGAACTGATCATTGGGCGGCAGCAGGCTTTGATCTGCCTCTGCATGAAGCGTGGGATGTCTGGCCGAACAACGCATCTTTTGCTCAAGTGTAACGGTATACCAATCGGAAGACCTGATATCCACAAGACTGCATGAGTCGTTTCTTGAGAACTTCGGCAGATCCAGTGACCATCGTGGATGGAGAAAATGGGGGTCACCAAGTGAAGTTGCTCCAAAGGGAAGCTCGTTGAAGTGTTTTACTTGAATTTTCCTACTGATCGACAGATTTTCATCTCTAAATGGATTTGATCTGACGAATTGCTAATAGAGCTGCTTTAGTAAAGCAGGTCATTAAGGTTCTTGATGCTTGTTTCGATGATGCATTGGGGACTTGAGGTGGCGCATACCAGAAATTGACCATCAGGGTGGTGCTATTCATGGGATTGCATGCATATGGGCAAGATAATTGGTCAGATGTTACTCCCACAAGGAACTTTTACTCCTTCTCTTGAGTGGGATTTGCAATAGCCTCGGTTATTCCCGCAAGCTTGTATCAGCCTTGGGGGAAAAGGACCCTGATAGATTTCCATCTACGCGGCTCAAGGTGGAGATGCTTAATATTATCCATAATTTGACTCCTTCTAGAAACACCTTGATAGATTTTGTTTCGGCTCTTGTTTTCTTCTCCAAAACTTTGGTAATGCTCTTGTTTTTATTTCGCGAAGAAGCCTTTGTTATTGAGAGTGACCTGTGAGAAAGTCTGTTCAGCATCGTGAAAGCCTCAAGAGTCATCAATGAGCATGTTTCTCGCGAATTTTCGCAAACATGCTCAATTAGCTCGTATGAGAGAGTATAGTGGCGTGTTGAGAGCCGTATTTAGTCCGGATTGCAACATCATTTTGTGCAAAACCCGCGCTGTTGCAACCTTAGTTGCCGATCCCTAGCCCTAGCGATGACACCTTCGCGCCAGTTTAAGAGCCAATCGCACCAGACTTTCTTAGTCTACGACACTTTAATTTGATTAAGAGCCATTTAAAACGATAAAAGGGGCAATAATGGCTCAAGGTACACGACACGGTAGTTGACCGGTAGTCGAAGCGGTGTACGGGGAAAATAACCTTGTTTCAGCCAAAAGGGTTGCGCAATGTCGATCCCTGAGCAAGTTTGAGGGAGGTCGAACGCTGCCACAAAGAGACTCGCCAAGGTGGCTTACATTCTGCCAACAGCATTAAAGGAACTCCCACTGCATTCTCGTCCACCTCGGCGCTTAGACGGTGGATTCGTCGCAACACCATACACAATGGCCGAAAATCGTGAACAAGACGCCAACGCGGTCATGAGCCGCGATATGGGCTCCGCGAACACTATTGTTGTCGATTCAGGGGACAATGAAAAGGCCCACGAGTTCAATGAGCAGACAAACTATGTGCCAAAGCGAGCCATCATTACAGTACGTCCCAAACAACAATGAGGACGATATACTAATTGGATCAATAGATATTTCTCGCATGCGCAAGTGTAGATTTACTGGCGTTGATGGACCAGACTATGCTGGCAACCAGTTTATATATCATCGGAAATGCTTTGGGATCAACAGCCCAGGTCTCGTGGATAGCAAGCGGATATTTCATGTGAGCATCATCAGTACCGGCGCGGGACTATGCTAACGATACCAGAACTTCAACAGTCGGGCAGCTCATGTATGGGAGACTATCCGATATCTGGTCTCGTAAGATCATCCTACTACTAGGCCTCGCAATATTCTTTGTCGGATCACTGGCCTCATCCCTGGCGCAGTCTGTTTTGCAACTCACGATCTTCCGAGCCTTTACAGGTATTGGAGGAGGTGGACTTATGACTGTGGCGCAGCTCATAGTGAGCGATGTCGTCCCTCTTCGAGAGAGGGGGAAGTATCAAGGAATATTAGTGAGTTCGTTATAATCAAGGCTTGTATCATCAAGACTAACAATATTCCAAGGGTGCCGTCGTTGCTCTCGCAAATGGCATAGGCCCTGTCATCGGAGGTGCACTCTCGTCGAGTTCTGCGGACTCATGGCGATGGATCTTTAGGATGCAACTACCACTGACGCTTTTGACTACGCTTTGCGTACTGTTCTTCATGCCATTGAAGAAAGTCGAAGGAGACTGGAGACTGTGAGTCCCAGTGGGAAATGCTAGGGTCCCAACTGACGTAATGAATAGCAAGCTGAAAGCTGTTGACTTTCTGGGCATATTCCTTGCCTTAGCTGGAATGACCGTCGTTATTCTTGGATTGACCTGGGGAGGAAAAGAGTATTCCTGGAATTCCGCTCAGGTTATCGCAACATTGGTAGTGGGCACGGCTGCATCCGTTGCTTTCATGCTCTGGCAGTGGAAAGGCCCTCGATATCCATTGATACCATGTAAGAAGCTCCATGATACAACATAAAACATTCTCTGACATAGACTTAGTGCACATCTTCAAGTCGAAGATCGTCAACGGCGCATGCCTCACCATGGCTATCAACGGTTGGAACTTTGTCATGCAAGTTTACTATATCCCTTCTTTCTACCAACTCGTCTACGGCTACTCCGCCACCAAATCAGGAGTAATGCTTCTCCCCATCACACTGCTCCAGACAGCCAGTAGCACTTTTTCCGGACTCATTGTGCACTGGGTCGGTCGGTACCGTGAGTGTATCCTGTTTGGCTGGTTATGCTGGGCGATCGGTCTTGGCTTGATGTCAACTCTTGATGAGAATACGGGTGTTGGGAAACAAATTGGTTATTCGGTACTTATTGGAGTGGGTGTTGGTAATACGCTGCAGCCGTGAGTTGAAATTGTGGCCTCCAGATGGGCTTGACTGACTGTGATAGTGCACTCATTGCTACGCAAGCTGGTGTCGAGAGGCGTGATATGGCTGTTGTCACATCATTCCGCAAGTAAGTGACAGAGTCACAACGTAATCTGGAGATAAATCTGACCAAACATGATAGTTTTGTGAGAAACTTGGGAGCAACATTAGGACTTGCAGTTTGTGGGACAGTTCTGTATGTCGAGTCAAGAAATATTCTAACTAATATTCGCTAACATTCCTTTAGGAACAACGTCTTAGCAGGCTCTCTATCCTCCCTAAACCTAGACGGACATGACTCAAAGACATTGCTTGGAAACCCTCAAACATTTCTAGATACAGTCTCACCGAGCGAAGCTGAAAGAATCCGCTCAGTTCTCATCCCAGCTTACAGACAAGGATTTCGCATAATATTCCTTATAGGCGCAGGCGTCGCAAGCCTTGCATTTGTGCTGGCGTTTTTTCTAATGCCACAGGTTGATCTCACTCGGCCGGATGACTCTCGGCTCAAGGAGGAAGGCCGTAAGGCTTATGAGAAGAGAGAGAAAAACGCAGTGTAGTGGCTGTGACGATTGTGACTGCATGATTACATTTCGCGGAAGGATGTTATCATTCGGGTTTTATAGACAAGGGAATTCCAATAGGTGTTTGGAAAAGAAACATGAAGGCCTGGCCAGCTGAAGACTGTTTTATTCTTCAAACCAATATTATCACAGCTACTGTGTAACATATCATTATTGAAGAATTACTGCCTCTCGACCCAGCTTTGAATCAGACCTTCTCTAGTTTCTGGGTACCTGACTAGAGATACGCTGTCACCCTCCAGTCTGGTATTTGCATACATAAAAAGTGTCCGAGGACCCTTTGTCGCCTCGACTGACGCTCGCCATTGCAGAGCAGGTTCGTCCACCGAAGTCAGACTCTCGAGCTAGTTGGATCCCCGTTGTACTTCTTTAGTGCACCTTGCAACATGTAATTCATGAATCAGAGCTCCCAATGCAGGTCGACCACCTGTCGCAATCCTCCCCTTCGATATACTACTTTGACGGATTTGGGCTCTTCCATGTCGTGTTGGATGGTTGCAAAAGCATGGCCAGCATTTTGGAAGCACTTCGAGAGTCCGAAGCGGACCTGGCCATGGACTTGTCCCCCCTTACATCTGGTCAGCAATAGGCAGGCTAATTCATTCTTATACGAACCTTCATTCTAGGGTGGTAGGACAAGAGACTACGGAGCCCTATACACGCAATGGAAAGATACCTACAATAGACCATTATGCTCAATCAGCCATGGGTGCTCAACGAGGTTTTTGATGACAGGGCCCTAGTATCTTGGATCTCAACCGCGTGTGGTTCAAATCTGAAATTGGTCCTCGGCACGTCAGCAGAGACATTACCCGTTATCTCATACGGCTTGATATCTTCCCACAGGGCCATCGGCGCCAGATAGTTCACAGTCGACTTGACAGCCATGGAGAAGGTAGGGCTAGTGCGTTGATTTGGGTGACATGTGACAGAGTTTCGACGTTTGACAATGAGAGTTGGAGTCTGGGCAATTTGGGCAGTTTGGGGCATGTCTTTATTTATACCACAAGAGCAAGTGACAACAAAGCATGCGGGAGGGCTAAAGGTGCCGCTATGAAAGCGTGTAATGTAATTAAAGAAATGCCTTATTATCAAATAATGAGACACTCTTTTAGTTCTCGGCCTAATACGATCGACTTTCACGTTTTCTTGATATTTAATTAAACTCAGTCAGATTAGCTGCCCGCTCCCACTAAATCCGAGGGATTCCCGAATCCGCCCATCGGCGACCGACAAATAATCCACCAAAGCTTACCAGAATCAGCGACTTTCTACAAGAAGGCAATCTGGGAAGAATACTCACGGAACGTTTGGCCCAGTCGTCACAAGTCCGTTAGACTTGCAACATGCAATGGGGTGGTCCTTTGGATAGAACCCAAGAGGAACGCCAATGGTAGGGCAACCTCCAACATTAGCACTTGTGTCAATTGAGGGAGTGAAAATAAGATCGCACTCTGTGCGATCCAGAAGCTCGGCAACCTGCTTCCCAATCTTGTTTCGCAGTACTATTGAGCCTGCAAACTCGGGGGAGTCTTGCCATTCGCTGACAAGATAGGCCCCATGCCGCGAAGTAAGCCCAACTGTCGGCTTGATGCTAATGACAGCGGGGTTCTGGGCAGGGGAGCTCAGGCTTCCTGATGTCTGCCATTTTTAGTTTAGATGGTTGCTTGCGGATTCAATGAAGACTGGTCTTGGCCTCTGAACCTAGAGCTGCTGCTGCCAGGCCCAGGCACGCAGCGATAGTGCTTCCTGAGGAAGAACCTGAAGGATCCTGGTCTTGGTGATAAGGCGCCAGGCACTGCTCTCCAACACCTGATCAAACTCCAGAAGCACGCCCTGGAGATCTATAATTGGCCCATTCTGTCGGGTTGGTCTTGCCTAGAAGGACCGCGCCCTGCTCGCGGAGTCGGCGTATGATCGTAGCCTCGAACGCTGGCACAGCCTCAGTCAATCCAAGACAGCCATCTCCATAGCACACAAGAGAGACGCGGAACGGCAACGATTCACTTGTTGACACTCAGCCATCCTTGGTCAGGAATACGTCCTTCACAAGGACGGGCACACCATGTAGTATACCAAGTGAAGCTCCTGAAGACCGTTCTGCGTCTCTCTTATGTGCCATGGAGATTGCGTCTGGGTTGACTTGCGTTATGGCACGGACTCGAAGTTGAGGTGTTCAATTCGCGCGGTATAGGTCTATATGAGAGAAGTTTTAGAATTTCTGCCTCTGCAATTAAGGGAAACGATGGCGGATTACCTCCACAAGTCCAGTGACTATGGATGACCTTTAGCCTTGTTCTAGTCCCGCTAGAAGTTGCGTAATGGTTGCTTTCTCAAGCTTGATTGCCATTGTTGTAGGGCTTGTTCGCCACAAGCCGCTTACCCAAGGGAACGTCGAAGCCATAGCCTGCTTTAGGTTCAATGTTAGCATAGCGAGTACTATGGCCATACAAGTAGGGATATTAAGGGTCCAATGTAGGGCCATGGGCTTTAGAAAGCAGTAATTGGTGACGAAATTAAGATTGGGAAGGGGGTAGAATAATGTCACCAAGGCAAGCATGTAGGTATCTACCTGGAGCTTCATGTGTGTTGATATGAAATGCAGAATTACCATAAAGGTTTCTCTCTCAACGAGACACTATTGTTCTGGATTACTGAGGCGGGCAACCTAGGGATGCTCTTCGATAGATCTGCGTCGCATCGTTAGCCCAGAGGACTGAGAGTGATGGTACTATGGCAATATTCAATGGGCGTTGGGGGCTCGCGACGAAGGCTTCTGAATCCACAAGGAAGGTCTCGAGCACCATCAGAAACTCTTTGGCGACAACAGCCATTACACGACGGGTCTATCCTTGTATAAAGCTGTAAGCCTTGCCTTCGAGCTCGGCCAGTTGGATTATGCGCAGGAACAGCTGACTGAGGCAGAGCAAACATTTTCCGAGTATCGTGATGACCCTGGGTTATGGCCAAGAACCCTTCTCAAGCTAGGTCAAGTATTGTTGCGAATTGCATATCGCGATAGCAACCAGACTTTGGAGACGAAAGGGGAGGTAAAGTGGTCACAGGGCCTCAATGAAGCGAGGAAAGTGTTGAAAGACGAGTCGTTTCAAGCCAAAGATGACGAGGAGCTAAACTCCCTTGTACGATAGGTTTATCGATAGACACCATAGGTCTTTGTTTGAAATTGTTCAGGATTCATTGAACAGTCACTGCTGACCGGTTATCAGTTCTCCCCACATGATTGAAAATGCAGTGAGCCTTTGAATCACACTCCCCAAGCCATCCATCTCAAGCCGCCCTTACTTCGATACAGTAAGCTTCATCAACGTGGCAGTGTATATGCCTAAGGTACCGTCTTCTCGCGTTCCACCCATCAGTGTCATGTCGGTAGAGAAGTCGTCGATACTTCGAAAGCCAAATTTCTCATACCAACTCAAGGATGCAGGTGTAGATACGGCATAGATATCAAGTCTGTGCTCTATAGCATACTCCTTTCCCCATTTAACATGTTGTGAGCCAGCTCCAGAGCCTTGATAATTTGGGTGAGTGGCTACGAGGGGAAGATCTGTGTGACATTAATTCTGGACATCTTTTTTGAGTTGGTGCTAAATTTGACGAACACAAACATGCTTTACTCCTACTTTTTCTCTTCTTCAATTTGCCAATTCCTTCATAGAAGGCTTTGGCCGCGTCAACATTCATGTCTTGAGACGAAAGCTCTTCGGGTGGATTAAAGGCGAAAGTCGCCCACCAAGCATCAAAGGCCCTGTCATGATCCCATATATACCAACGTGCAAATGACACGGTTTTACCATCTTCAGTGACTGCTTTGATTTATCTGACATGGGGCCGATGGAAACGTAGTTCTTTGTCTTTGATTGATGCAATCAATGCATTTGTGGTCATGTCAGAAGGATATATCAGTTGCTCGATTGGAGTTGTTGGGAGTAAAGCTTCGAATTGGATACTTGATGTAATTTCCAAATCAGAGATCAAAGCTGTATAAAGTGCGGTATACATGGCTTGAAATTTAAATGCAGGATGAGAATAGAAAGGCGATCTTCAAAGCAGAAGATGGCATGTTAAGTTACATAAAACATGTAATAATTGAGGTGGATAAATAGGCAAGTAGACAGACTTAATATGCAATAATGCCTTTCTTTTGAAGGCTTCTAGATATATCATTTGTGTACGCATCTTACAGGGGACTCATCGGCTGGAAATTGTCTTCCCTGTGGTGCTCACTCCATGCTCAACATCAAGACTAAGGACGAGCTTAGCAACTATTAATCGTTGTTTTAGAGCTTTTAACCACCATACAGAATCTGGGTACCTCTGTATCTTTCATCATTCTGACAGGGGGCGGTACAGTAACGGGCTGTACGGTGCATAACTGTTGAGCTGAAATGGAGCTCAACGCAACACAAACGGTCAAAAGTGTGGTCGTGCCGCACTCAAATGAGCAAAGAGCAACTTTGTCGTATTTCACTTTTATTTCTCAGGGTGATGTTGCGCGTGTCATTTGCCTTGGAGTCCCATTTGACAGCCGCGGTCAGTCAACATGGTGTGCCGTATACCACTAGCGGCCCTCTCCCGAAAGCTCTCTGCACCAATAATATATCATCTTGACTCTTTCGTCCCACTACCTAAAGTGTATAACCCCTGGTAATATCAAGATAACCCGTTTTGTAGTCATTATGTCGGATCCCTCCCGCATTTCTAGGATATGCGGCTATTATGACGATCATTTTACAGTTTGACTAGCGAATGGCCCAATCATCTCTATCGGAGGGACAAAGCCCAATGTTATACTATTGGTTACTCTAAAGATCATGCTGAAGGGGGAGGACTTTCATGCACTCTTCAGAGAAAAGACTGGGGTTGATATGCGGTCGTTGGCATGTTTCGGAGATGTTGAAATGATGACGGAGCGAGTAAGTGGCCAATGATGGGGTTTGAGGTCTCACATAAGTCCCTTACTGCGGTCGGAAGGGGAAATTGTCAGATTGTGTTGATATCCCCTCACATCCACCGAGCCGGGTATTTGTTTGACTTGATGTAGTTTCCCCAATATTCTCCGGAACAGATACCTTTTAGGGTAGAAAACATTAATCTTCCTCGAACTACGACTCCCGATAGTTGAGGCAATGGCTGGTTTGAGCCAAGGCCATCAACGTGCTCTCCTCCCTGCCACCGAATTTCCCTCTGCCCCTATACCCCGCGTCGTCCTCCCGCGCTACCCCAGAGTCGGCGTCACGACTGCCTGTGAAACCTGTCGAAAGCGAAAGATCAGGGTTAGTATCTCAGATCCGCGTACAAACTGGTATCTAACCGTTCATAATAGTGCAGTGGGAATCGACCAAGCTGTAAAGGCTGCATCCGCGCTGGGTCAGACTGCAACTATGCGCCCGTAAATAAAGATCACGAGTTGCGGCAACGCTATGAGCATCTGCACACTGAAAAGACGGAATATAAAAGGCTTGTCGACTTGCTACGGTTACGAGACCACAAAGAAGCGGATGTCATTCTTGATATGCTACGCCAAAACACGAGCGTACACGAGGTTCTTCAACAAGTTGAACACGGTGATATGCTGTGCGAACTGTCCCATGTGTCTGAAGACAGGTATACTACGTTATTTCCTATTTCTTGATCCCGTGAATTCCCCGAATTTTCTTGCCTTGTGTAGAGGAAGGAACCTGTAACTGACCTGAGCTCAGAGCATGTAATGACTCGAGCTGGTTGCGGACCATCGACAGCCGTCGCCCGCTGTCAGCTGATAGCGACTGAGCCAGCTTCTCGAATACCCTTCCCAGACTTTGCCTTCAGCCATCTCCCCAGGACCCATCCTTTTGCATTGCTGCATTATCTCAGCTTCGTCGCATGAAACTCTCCGAAAAGGGCAGAACGACAACTGGCAATCAAGTTTTTCTATTCAGGATGAAATATTCGGACAAATTTCAGTGAATGGTCTACTGAGATAGCTAGCTTACAAGGCGACGTATGGACTATGGCGGGCTTGCTAGAGACTAATAATCAACATCTTGGCCCGATACTGGTATCACCTTTGTGCTAAATTAGGCTCAAACTGCGAATCATTAGCAGCTAAGAAAAAAAGAACTATTTTTATAATGCTGAAGCTTTTTGCGATTATCAAAGCTAGTCTCGGGATTAACAGAATATAAATTCTGCTGTAAAGTCTAACCGTCCAAACGTTGTTAGATTGGGCACTGTCAGCAAACTCATGAAGAAGAAACTGATGCTTCGATCCCTGTGCTTGGATCAACGACTTTATGGAGGTCTGTTTTTATACTTTGACGTGTATGCTAGGTCATTCTGTCGCTTACACCAAGTTTTGATGGTCGTTTGGTGTCCGGGGCGAGAGTGGGGCCGGATCCGGCACCAATTCCGTTGTCCAGATACGTATTCATCTTGGGGAACCGAAAACCCGACGGTTGCACTGAAGACTGCAAAACAGCAATGATGGCTCTAAAAGTCTGTTACATATCGTTATAGTTTTGGCGCTAGTGGCAACACAGCGTACCGTTGAGGAATTAATCTGGTGAGCAGCTCAGGAACACAATTCCGTGAAAAAGTTGTCTTCCTCCTCAGCCAATCAAAAGAGAGACCTAACGGGCAGTCTTGGGGCTCAGAGCAATGACATCAAATGACCCCGGCCTGGCCTGACAGCTCACTCAAAGTGCCGACGCTGATAACGATTTGCCAGCTAAGGCAATCTCATATCATCAGAGTAAGAGAGATAGTCCTTCAACATCATAAATAAAGCAATCGATACAGCAACAACTGGAGTATTTCCCCATGGAGAATTCGGAGACGGGCTGATTACAAAGACTGTTGTAACAATCGCGCAATATGCCTTGGTCCAATGTGGGTTCAACCTCCACCGACGTCGGATTACCAAGCCAAATTGAGCTGTACAATGAATAATCCATCCAATCCCCAGAAAAGGGAACCCCTCACTATGCCGTAGCTCTACAGATGTAGTATTTGTAACCTCATATCATCATATAAAGTGCCATTCCCCTCATCCAAGCTCAATCCTCGTATCTACACGCTATCAATTAATGACATCGCGCATCACCCAATTGGGAAAACAACTCTTCACAATGGCTCAAAAGACCAAGACCGACATCACCCTCTACACCACCAACACGCCCAATGGCATCAAACCCTCTATCCTGCTCGAGGAGCTGAACCTCGAGTACAAGGTATTCAATCTCTCACTCTCCACACTTATGAGTATCACTAACAGTCTCAGGTGTATCCCATCAAGATGACCGAGAATGAGCAGAAGGAGGAGTGGTTCCTCAAGATCAACCCCAACGGTCGCATCCCTGCTCTCACTGACACTCTCGACGGCAAGCAGATCCGCGTTTTTGAGAGTGGTGCTATGTTGCAGTACCTTGTTGATCGCTACGATAAGGATCACAAGCTTTCGTTCCCTCATGGGTCTGCTGAGCATTGGGAGATGACCAGCTGGGTGAGTTTTCGCATTCGTACGTACAGTCAGATCATTGCTAACAGCTCGCAGCTCATGTGGCAGATGGGTGGCCTCGGTCCCATGCAGGGTCAAGCCAACCACTTCAAGCGTATGTTCTCACTCATCCATTCCATAGTACTATATTGACATATGCAGGCTACGCTCCTGAGAAGATTGAGTACGGCATCAACCGCTACACTAACGAGACCCGTCGTCTCTACCGCACCCTCGACACTCATCTCGCCCAGACAGAATCCGGCTACATCGTTGGCGACAAAGTCACCATCGCGGACATTTCCATCTGGGGCTGGGTCTCCAGCGCAAGTGAGTCTCACATCTCCCCTGCATCATCACCGTTCTCTAACACCCAACAGAATGGGCTGGCGTTGATCTCTCCGAGTTTCCCCACCTTGAGAAGTGGCTCTACAAGCTCCTCGAGCGTCCTGGTTTCGAGGCTGGTCGTCATGTTCCTACGCGCCACACAGCGTTTGAGCTGGCCAAGCTGAGTGAGGAAGAGCTTGAGGCTAAGGCTAGTGCGTCCAAGGCTTGGGTTCAGGCTGGTATGAAGGACGATGCGAAGAAATAAATAATGACAGCATAAATGAAGCGTAATACATTCTGTTTTGACTATCTCCCGACGTATCTGGAACTATCTTACTTCTTCACAACAGCCAGCTGGCTTCGGACTGGCACGTTCTCCTCCCTACCAACCTCGGGGAATCCTTCAACTTTGACACCCTTGCGGAAGATAACACAATGCGTCGAGCCTCCAAAGTGAAACATTCCCGTCTCCTGCCCTTTCTTGACGTGCTGTCCCTCCTTAACGGTAATCTCACATGTACTAACCTCATCCATACCAATACCAACGAACGCAATGAGTCCAATTGCCGGCTCATCAGCCTCGATCAGAATGATAGCCCTCGTCGCCAACGCACTCAGATATCCCTGACTCTGCGATAATCCCGCTGACGAGATCTCTGTGGATCCAGGTTCGCCTACACCTTCGAATAGAGGCTCGCTGAAATACGTACCGTCTTGGACGAAGGCACGCACAACCTTACCAGAGACGGGAGTGTGCCAGCGGTGATAGGAGAGGGCGGACAGGAAGGCTTGGTAAATCGTTCCGCCGGCGAATTTCTCAGCGAGAGGATCATGAGCCAGCATGTCAAGGATAGAGTAAGGTTGGCCCTTGGCGAAGAAACGATCGCGAAGTTTCACGTCGCGTTCGATGTTGTAGACGCGTGATTCGCAACAGTTGGCGATGACGAGGTCGTCATCTGGTGAAGCGACGGGACGGGCACTGTCGCGAACCTTGCGAGTGAAAAAGTCTACCAATGTGAGCTATGGTTCATGGTGGTGAGGTTTTTGGCTTACCATCCCAGGACTTGAAGCCGTAGTATTTGGCTGATGGATCACACTCAAAGACCTCCTCAAACTTGAAGTTCGTTTTGTTGGGCTTGTTGGCGACCTCGACGAGGTCATTCAGGCCTACTGGGCCGAACCAGCCTTGTTTGTGATCTCCAAGAACCTTGGCAGATTCAGGCGTCTATCTGTCGTCAGTATGACTCTCTCGATAAGTCATGTGGATCAACATACCAGGAGGAACTTGCCCCAGTGGTTGAGAACCTTCTTCAGCATCCGATTCACGTCAGGGTCCAAAAACGCGGCGTAACCACTATCTCACTCGTCAGCAATCACCTCTCAATCCCGTATCTCATTAAACTCACCTAGGCGTTCCCATGGGATAGTCAAAGATGGCACAAAGCGGCACACCTACCATGCCCACACTCTCCGCCGCATCCGTCCACTCTGGCGCTGTGCTAAAAATGTGATTGAGCACCTGCAGCATATGCTCATAGTCTCTCAACTGAGGTGTTCCAGTAGGATCATTCTGATAAGGGTGTTTCTGGGGGATCTCTTCAAACATCTGGATGAAGTACATGTACACGCGGGGCGTCTTCTCGATGAAGTCCTTGAACTCTTGGAGAACGGGGGTGAGCTCTTTAGGGTTCTCATCGGCGTGCTTTGTGACGCGGCGCATGTACTCTCTGTGCACGCGATGGTCGGCGGGAAGCCATGCTCCAGGTCTGTAGTTGTTAGCACACGGCGATGCTGTGGTTGAGAATGTAGGTCCTACTTGTGAATCCGGTGCTTGGCGGGGATTTTATGATGATCTCCGTGTTGATGAACCATTGTCACTGATGCTATCTTGCACTGAAGCAAGTGTAAACATGTAAATGAATTCTAAATGCCAAGAAAGGTTCCAGGAGATCTCCCGATCTATATATAAATACCCCATAGTATACCCAAACCCAGATCGAACTCGCTCACACACTCTCTCTACGTCAGCATCTCGATGATGCAAACTAACAAGCCAAACTCCACACGCGGGCATTACCGCATCGCATTAGATCCGAATTACCCGTTTCTGGAATGCCGTTATCCGTACGCAATTCCCTGATAATTCTTCGTTTTAATAATGAGAACTGCATGAATTCACGCGAAATTTAAGGTGCCGATTTCCCGATTGAAACGCGTACAGCCAAAAGGTAATGATGACGTTGTGGGCTTTTTTGAGACCGGGTTTTCCGAAAAAGCTTCAGAGCTGAGGGGTAACTTGGTGATATTGGGGTGATGTCTCGTTAGAATAACTTGTTTCGATGTGGAATACCTGATATTCAGCTCGAGATGCTCAACCTTCATGCCAGACACAATCTTTGCAACATCGTGACGAGCAATCGTTCAAGGTTTCTTGGCACATACCTCTTAAGGCTCAAAGAAACAATAAGACCGTGAGGTCATTCACAGACACGACACAGCATCTAATAATTTAACGTCTTGTTATTGATGATTCACTCAACTTCGCTCTCCAAAACCTCTAATAACAAGATAACTGAGCAGGTTCCAGTCGCTAGAACCAACTCGCGCCAGCATCACCCTGACTCTCGCTCACTCAGTCAGAGCGCCCACCACAAGGCCCATCAAGTCTATCATCCCACTCCAGTTCATGTCCCTCCTCCTTTGGCAAGAATATAACAAGAAGTACCATTTTAACGGCAAAATCACTCAACTATCAAACCGCAAAACAAGAAGCTCAAACGCCGATAATTAAATACAAATACTGAAGGACTCCGGGAAAGACGTGTATCTCT